TGGGGGGAAATTGGGGAAAAATTGGGAATTTTGAGGGAAAATTTGAGAATTTCGGGGGAAATTGGGGAAAAATTGGGAATTTCGAGGGAAAAATTGGGAATTTTGGGGGAAATTGGGGAAAAATTGGGAATTTTGGGGAAAATTTGGGAATTTTGGGGGAAATTGGGGAAAAATTGGGAATTTCGAGGGAAAATTTGGGAATTTTGGGGGAAATTGGGGAAAAATTGGGAATTTCGGGGGAAAATTTAGGAATTTTGGGGGAAATTGGGGAAAAATTGGGAATTTTGAGGGAAAATTTGAGAATTTCGGGGGAAATTGGGGAAAAATTGGGAATTTTGAGGGAAAATTTGGGAATTTTGGGGGAAATTGGGGAAAAATTGGGAATTTCGAGGGAAAATTTGGGAATTTTGGGGGAAATTGGGGAAAAATTGGGAATTTCGAGGGAAAATTTGGGAATTTTGGGGGAAAAATTGGGGGAAAATTGGGATTTTTGGGGGAAAATTGCAATTTTTTGGGAAAATCTGGGGGAATTTGGGATTTTTGGGGGAAAAATTGGGAAAAAGTTGGGATTTCTTTGGGAAAATTTGGGATTTTGGGGGAAAATTTGGAGGTTTGGGGAAAAAAAAATCGGGAATTTTGGGGGAAAATTTAGGAGTTTTCGGGAAAATTTGGGGGTTTTGGGGGAAATCTGGGAATTTTGGGGAGAAATTGGGAATTTTGGGATTCGGGGGAAAATTGGGGTGACACTGATGACGTCACACAGGTCAGACAGTGATGACGTCACACAGGTGAGCCACAGACACAAGACAGGTGACATCGATGACGTCACGCCCATTGATGACGTCACCGATGACGTCACACGCTGGTGACGTCACTGACCGAGAACAGCACGTCCTGCCATTGACAGGTGTGACACCGATGACGTCACACAGGTGAGAGACAGGACAGGTGACACCGATGATGTCACACCCACCGATGACGTCACCGATGATGTCACCGATGACGTCACTGACCGACAACATCACGTTCTTCTAGTCCTGGTTGACACTGACAGGTGACACTGATGACGTCACACAGGTGAGACACAGACACAGGACAGGTGACACCGATGATGTCACACCCACCGATGACGTCATCGATGACGTCACTGACCAAGAACAGCGCGTTCTTCTTGTCCTGGTTGACACTGACAGGTGTGACAGTGATGACGTCACACAGGTGAGACACAGACACAGGACAGGTGACAGTGATGACGTCACACCCACAGATGACGTCACCGATGACGTCACTGACCGAGAACAGCATGTTCTTCTTGTCCTGGTTGACCGCCCGGGGGTCGGGCACCGGCTCCGTGTGTTTGATCACCGACACCGACTCCCCTGCACCAGTACGGACCAGTATGGACCAGTTCAAACCGGTATAAACCGGTATGGACCAGTATGGACCAGTTCGAACCGGTATAAACCGGTACGGACCAGTACAGACTGGTATGGACTCCCAGTCCATCCCAGT